TAGCTGCAAAAATGGCAATACTACTGGTGATATCGATATAGATAGTAATATGTTTGAACAGGTAGATAAATTTAGGTATCTAGGTTCTACGATAACTAGAAAAAACGAAATTGAAGAAGAGATTAAGGTTAGACTGAAGGCGGGGAATGCTTGTTATTTTTCTGTGACAAAACTACTTAGTTCGCGCCTCTTGTCCCGAAACTTAAAAATTAGAATCTATAAAACAATTATCTTACCCACAGTTCTTTATGGATGCGAAACTTGGCCGCTTACATTAAGGGATGAGCAGCGTCTTAAGGTTTTTGAAAATAAAGTATTGCGTAGAATATTCGGACCGAAAAAGGATGAGTTAACCGGAGAGTTCAGACGGTTACACAATGCCGAATTGCGTGAGATGTATCCGGGTAATATAATTGAGGTAATTTCATCGCGGCGAATCAAATGGGCTTGTAAAGTTGTTGGGCTTAGTAACGAGAGAATTCCTAAAAGGTTAATATTTGCTGTGCCGAATGGTAAGCGTCCGAGGGGTAGACCGAAGCGAAGATGGGAAGATTGCATTAAAGCCGATCTGAAGGGACTGGGTTTGGACGGCGAACGGTGGAGGGAGGTGTGTAACAAGCGATTGGTGGTGTCGGCATCGAACCTTCGGGTTCGCTAAGCCTTATTATTATTATTATTATTATTTATTCTATCTTATTACCTATAAATGTCTATTATTATCCTTATTTTTTTATCTTATTCTATCAATCCATTTCTTTATTTTTTTATTTTTTTATTTTTTTTTTTTTTGAACCAACCATCCAAACAGTATTAGGTGGTGTTATTTAGTTGATCGGGCTCTTATGACCTGGATGTTTTGCGCCTAGACATCGAAACAAACAAAGAAACAATATAAGAAATCTGGTATGCGCAACACACAACTTTCGTTTACTGCTCTACTTTGAATAGAAATTATTTTCTGGCAATGTTGGGCTGTTATAAAACTTTTGAATTGTATTTTAAACGAAGCTAAAACTTAAAACTTACAGCTAAGAAATTATTAATACCATTAAAATAACAAAAATCCTATTTATTATATTAACGTTTGATTATGGATTGTACGACTATTAGTTATAAAACTGTTATTTTCCATTACAAAGTTTACTAGAATGGAATTACGAGATTTGAATAAAAAAAAGAAATTCTCGGAATTAGATAAAAATTATGATATAGCCACTCATTTTACAAAGTTTATAATACACTTACATAAATAATACATCAAATTACTGGAGTTATTTATTTTTTTTTTTTAATGGTTCAAAATTGACGACGTCACGAAAGACAACTATGCTTTAACAAACCCAAAGAAAGAAATCGGTTGATTTGACCTCAATCACTATTTCAATGACAAAATACCTTCTTGATTTTATAGACCACTCAACTTTACTTTGAAACGAATTTAATCAAAATTATTAGATTTTGAGAAATATGTGTAAAATCGACGATTAAGTCCTACGGTAAGTCGGTTTTAACGAAAAAGTTAATGTAAAATTCTAGCCATCTGGATATAACATCGAAACCATATTACCTAAAAATTAAATTTTTGCTATTGCTACTCTACGTTAATATTTATAATAACATGATTTATTAGTAATTACATAATAATAACTTAGTACTATTTATACAGTAGTAATTTGAGTGCTACATAGATAAGATATCAAGATGCGATTTCAAGGTTGTTACGTCAAGCTGACGTCAGGGTATTGGCAATGTTGGCCAAAATGTTTATTTGAATGTTGTAAGCGCTCAATGTTTCTAGCAAATGTAACTTTTTTCTGATTTTGAGTGTTGTTATTGTTTTTAAATATTTTTTTTGTTTTGGATTCATAGCAAATCATAGCGTTTTAAGTGGGATGATAATTTTTATCTATACGATTTTTTACAAAGACTTTTTACATACCTAATATTTTAGTAATAATAATTAAACAACGTAAATTTTCTCCTTTGTATTTGTAACTGCGATTAGTGGTTCTTGAGTAATCATCGAGAACTGGATTTTCAGGTAAAATAAAAAGATAAATACACGCGTGTGATTATATTTTTACAAATATATTACAAAATGTGAGAAATAGGTATAACAAAAAAAAAAAAAAACTGTAAATGCGGAAGGTTGACGAAAAGCTACAAACATTTAAGAAAAATATTGTAAAACTTATCCTTAAATTAAATTTGAAAATTGCTTGATAATTTTAAAGAGCGGATTTTATGTAAAATAACATGAAATAAACTTACATATGTATACACATATGAATAAATGCAAGTATAGAAAAAGTAATTAATAAGATATGGATATACATATAAGGTATAGCTCCAATTCTTATTTGTTTGGGAGTCAATACATAAAATTTGCCAATGGTTTATATAATTGATATAAAATACCCCAATAATGTCAACAATTGAAAACTCAGTACAGTCTCAAAATTTTGAATAGATTTTTTAACAATTACCATAATCTGAAAAAAAAAATGTCCTCCTGATTAATTTTAAATAATACAATGTATTTATAGCATATGGCATAACATGGAGTGTTTTTCTACTATCAAGACAGTATTGCGAATGTATCAACGACACCAATATTATTTTACCTATACAAATATAAAACTGTATCAGTGGTATCGGAATTCTTAACTTAAAATATTATTAGATTTTTTTTTCAATTTTAGTACCTCTTAGAGTGAAATGTATTTTCGCTAAAGTAGGTTCTAAATTTCTTATGTTTTTAGAGTTGTCAAATCCCAAATTTCTGAACTTTTCGGGTTTTCAAATTATTGTAGGGGAAGATGAATCCATCCCTCCCCCTCTCGATTGTGACGTCAGAGTATAAATACCGGGAATATTTTTGCCCTTGTACTCTTTTAAAATTCTTTTAAATGTTTTTATTTAATTTAAAGAAAGTAAAATCATAACAGCGGAATTCGTGACGCGCGATTTAAAAACGATGAGAAATAAATAAACCAATGCTTCACAATGTATTCTTTTTCTCATTTTTTGTGTCGAGTTTTTGTCATCCAATAAGTTTATTTTTGGCACATATTTTTTTACTTCAACTAAAAAAAAAAATATTACCACCTCTTCAAACATTTTTGCTGAGAAATTCACGAATGTATTTCGAGGACCTAGTACTTTAAAAAAAAAAAAAATCAATTAATTACGTCTCTACATACAAAGTAAAAATAAAATTGTTAACGACTTCAGCCCTTCCAGGTAAATTTAATTACATACAATTTCCGACTCTGGTACTTTTATTTTTATATTAAAAAAAAACTTTTAATTAAAGAAACTTTCCTTTTATTTGTTCTCAATCAATTTGTTTTTTAATTCATATTTTTCGTCGTCTAAACTTGTACGATAACATGTATACATCCTCCAAATTTGTGAAATTACAAATATGTTAAATAAATTATGGTTTACTTGCTTTTAAATTTTATGAAACGTATAATAAATTGTCGAAGAAGACTGTAGAAGGTCAGAAAAAAATTATGTAAATGCATTTGAATCTAATTCCTAGTAATTACCTATTATTTTAGAGACTTAAGACAGGATTTAACTCTTTGAAATAAATGACGTTATAAAGATATGTTTATAAATAATATAAACACTTTATTTATACCAAATAATATTTTTAATTTTCATCATAATTGTAAAAAAAAATAATGTAAATATAAAGCCGTCTCTGCTTCCAAATAGATCAAGCTCATGAAGTACAATTGATAACTACAGGCGCCCACTAATTATTTTGTTATCGAAAATATAATTACATTCTGTAATTATGAAATTTGTATCAAACTCCAAATGTTTTATTGAATAAAGCGTGAAAATTATAACTGTGGTGACCATGATCGATTTAAACCGGAGCGTCAAAGTGTTAAAGAAAAACGCTTATCGGTAAATTATGTTTTTTTTAAAACATGTACAAGTATGCATTTAAGTTAGATATTTTAGTATATTATGTATGACAATCGGCTAATGTAAGGATTTGTCTTAAAATATATTTGTAATTTTAATTTAATATCATTGTCATCATCCTAACACAAATAAAATAATCCAAAATTCTTCGAAAAATTGTTAAAGCGGTATCTATTATTTTAAATCATATTACACACGAATTAAACATTTTTACAGTAAAATCTTACATCCAAGACAAATTAAGAACATTTAACTCATCAACTCAAAATCTCCACGATCTACTCGTTCTATTAATTTCCTTCTAGCTGTTACCTGCTGTGCGTAAATAGAAAAGAAAGCAGGCCAGAGATCTGCTGGATGCAGGATCACCAATTACTCCACAACCCATTCAATAATTAATAATAATAAGGTCATTATCAAACAAAGAACAAAAAAAATTATGCTGAAATTTTGAACATTTCGAAAACCTAGTCTTAGGTCTCCTCACAAATTTGCGAATGCAGGTATCATCAGACAAGATCGCATAATGTAAACTAAATAATGTACAGCTCGTATCAACAGTTTAGAAATTACCAAATGTCAGGGGCAAAATATCCCCATATATTTCAACATGTCACAGAAATATTTTATATTTTTGACCTACTGAAGTGAGGCATAGATACAGTGGAGTATGTGTTTGCGTTGAATTAGATTAATGTGATGTCTCTTGTTGATGGGTCCTTTATAGATTCTTGAAAAAGGATATGCTGGTTTTGTATCCATTTATATGATCTTGTATTTTTCTGTCCTAATGGCAGCTGAATCGGCCAAACATCCGTCAGTTGCGTTCTGGTATGGTAAGAGAGTTGAAGATTTTGGTTTTGGGAATCTTCCAACAACATTCTAATATACATTAGTACCATTATTCTGGTTTATAAAAAAAATTAAAAGTTTAATTAATAATTGAGTTCTGCCCAAACATATTTGCTTCAAATTACAAGATGAGTTCTGCCCAAACATATTTGCTTCAAATTACAAGAAATATAAACTGGTTACTTACTCCTTTTTTTTTTCAGGGTGATTCTGGTGGACCTCTTGTCATCACGGATGACAGCTGCATCAAGACACAGATTGGGATCACCTCCATTGGAAGTGACTGCGGCCTCCCGAACTCTCCAGGTATCTACACCAGGGTGTCAGAGTACGTATCCTGGATTGAGGGCATCGTCTGGAGTTGAATTAACAGATCAGTCTCAGATTATCTGGAAGATATGAAACTGACGTTTAAAAGAAACTGGAATGAAAGGTCATGAGTTCGAAATCGGAATACAAAGTGGTTTTGTAGTAGAACGTGCACTGTTATGGTCGATCGATGTTTTGATTGAAGTTGAACATTTTTTTAAAGCTTGATATTATATCAGAATAATTAAATATATAAACAACTATGAACTGGTTACTTTCAAAATATTTAGTCTGTTCAGTGTAACTTGAGTTTTGGATAGTTAATTATAATATAATAAACTGACGCGCATTTGTTAGGAAGTGTTCTTCATCAAAAGTTGAAAATATTGTAATCGCGATTTTTTTTTTTTTTAATGGAAAAATGGAATAAATACATATGTAGCAATCAATTTATTTATTAAAAATTAAATAATTAAAAGTTTCCTGACACCAGGTAGATAATTCTTCGTAACCAATTGTTGTGAACAGTGTGAACCTTTATCTCTAATATATTATAACATTAAATTAATTAGTTATATAAATTAATTTACATTTATGTTATAATTATACTATAAGCAAATTTGTACCTGAAACGATAGGACATTTTTATAAATATGTAACAATTAATATGAGATTTGCTATATATTGGCATTACAAATAAGAAGACTGTTTAAACCAATTTGATTTATATTTTCAATTGAAACTTTAAATAGTATATTATATCATGATTTAAATATCAAGAGCTTTCAGCTAGAAAATAATAATATATAGCTTAAAAAATTGAGTTGCAAACTCGATCTTTTGGTTTGAAAATCCTATAAGGACTAGCTTTAGAAAGCAAATTAAAATTTCTTATCATTTTACCACAGATTGAAATTTATCCCGATAATAAAAATAACCAAATGTTATTGAAACAAATTATTAAGAGTAATCAAGCTTTCCTACAAGAAATTTCTAAATTAAGCCAAGTACATTTATTATTATTGTGTTTGATTGCTTCTTTAAACATTGATTATGTCATAAAGCATGAAAGATATTAAGGAAATGTTAAGCAATAGTTATTTATTATTTTTATAATCATTCGCCTATTATTTTATATAGGTATACATGTTGTAATTTTTTTTTTCATTATAAACATGTATAGCTTTATTTTGATGTTTTCCTAAACCATTGAAGGTTTAAAGATCCTCTGATTGCTTATTTTAACTCAATTTATTGTTTAATAAAACATTTTTTTTATTTACAACTTTAATATCATTGTAGTATTCTTCTTACTATGCAATTGCGCTGTAATACATCTAGCAAATAATGAGCTTCAATTTGGTTTTTGTAACAATGATGGAGTTCTCATAGAAGTTATATATATATATAAATAAGATCAGACTTTGCCAAAAGCATCTCTTCAGCGAGAAAAAGATCAAGGTCAGTGAGATAAGGTATTTAAGGAGTGGAAGGTGGAATGTATGAAAAAAAAAGTTTGAGGATATAGAAGATTATTATTTATTTATTTATATATTTTATTGTATTTATTTATTTTAATATTCGTACCACATATTGGAAAATGAAGGGATTTCAACCCAGTAAAAATAAGTAAAAAAACAGGGCCGATATCAAGAAAATTTATTATTGGCCATAAATGTGGGAATGAGTTCCTCATCGAATGTAGAACCATGAAAAGTCCTCTCAAATCCCATGTTCGCTTCTATCAAAAATGGTGAAAGATGGCCACCTAGAACTTTCTACCTTATGTTTTGTTTTTTCTCATATCTCCGTCAAAAATTATCATTATTGAATTCTGCAAGTGCTAATATAATCAGAAAGGATGCTCGTTTTGGATTCCATACGAGTTTACCTGATAGAAAAATTATAAACGAGCTGTAATTTGATATCTTTGAGGCAAAAAATGCGAAATTTTCTTTATTCTAATTCTGTCACTCCTCATAACTTTGAAACTATTGGCAAATAGAAAATAATGTTTTTTGTAATCTTCACCAAGAGGAATTTTCGAAAAATTGATTTTTTAATATTTGCTGAAAAATGGTGGAGATATGTTAATTTTTAATAAAAATGTCGCGATTTAAAGTGAATTCCATATCGGACTATTTGGACTGGATAGCTTGTTATGGACTAGGAGTTACCGATCATTTCATTTCACTGAAGGACTTACTGTTAGTAACCATTTTAAATTGTAGATAAACCTTATCTGAAAAAACATCTTCGGTCAGTCGGTTGAAAGCCACGAAAATTTAAATTAAAATGGTGATATTTAACGGTAGAACTGACTGCTGAAATTTTGATATGATTTAAAGAATATGTCTGAGCAATAAATAATAATAATAATGATATTAATTTAACTTTTATGTTGTTAAATAACCCAATTGGTGAATCGTGTTTTATCTTTTAGTTTCTCATTACTCAAATCATAAAAGCACAAAGCCCTAGATAGCCAGGTCAAGCTATTTCCTATAGTTTATAAATAGTTATCTAGAATGTACCTGGTATGAATGTGTTCATTTATCGCTATAATTATTGTCCACGAGACAGAATATTATATATGTAAATAAATAAAAAAATTTTAAAAAACAATGTACCGATTGGACAGAAGACCCATTATCAAGGCTTAGGGAACAATAACCGATTTCAGCAAAAGGGTATTTTCTCACAGACATCTTAAGAATATTAACTATTGATAACTTCCTTTGCCGTCCTCTTCAGACTTCTCCCACTCTTCCCTTCACCCCTCACTATTCTTGGGTACATAAACCCCATGCTCCTAAGAACAAATCACTCATGCAGTTACATTCTTGAAGTCACACTCTTCACTGTAGGAGACCTGGTGTGAACTCGTGTAGTCAAACCATATACCCATAGTATATTACTCTGTATGTTAGATGCCAGTTGTAACAGACATAATGAATAATACCATTACTTATAAAGTCTTCACTGCCCCGATTCGTTAACTCTTGCATCAATGGAATACCTCAACTGAGGCAGGAGTTGTAAAAGTTTGTCATGTGAACTATCCCTCTCCTTGGTAATTGTTTTAATAATATGGTTTGTATTCCATCGTGGACGGGAGCTTTGTTTCCCTTCGAATGACGGTGTATGGCCTTTGTTTGTTTTGGGGATACAAACATGTAATTGCTGCCGATATCTTCCAGTGGAAGTTCGGTTAGAGTCCCAGTTTGTCTACTTATATTATCACCATAGAAGTCTGCAACGCCAAATTTTTTTATTTTTTATTTTAATGAAATTTACAACTGTATTACATGAAAACACAACAAGCAAATGTGACATTGGTAACATGACATGTACAACATGAAGAGAAACTATCCATTGGTAGAACTCAAATTAAATTTCTATATTAGAAGGTCCCGAGGCCTTTTATCTTCTTTTCAGACGCCTTGGAGGGTTATTAGGGATCGAGGAGGAAGCAAGGTTTGAAACAAGAGGGTTCGAATGGTTCTGCAGTTTGTTATGGAAGGATAGGTATCTGGATTGGAAACATATGGAACATTAAGGTCTTTATGGATGATTTTATTTGTGACAAAATAAGGAGCGTTGAGGATTTTGGATTGTAAGGATTCTATACGAGAGGAATTCGATGGTTTAGTGGAGCCCCAAAGCTCAATTCCGTAAGTCCGAATAGGTCCTATTATTGCCATATATATAAGTCGTTTGTAATTGATTGAAAGCTTAGAGCGTTTGTCTAGTAAGTGCTGCAGTAGTCGAAAACGTCGGGCGGTTTCTAGTCGTTTCAGTCTGGTATGGGGGTAGTTATAACTTTAAAATTATACTCGCTATACAACCTCTTCCTAATCATTTTGAAAGAGCATTGCATTTTCTTTATATCTCATGTTAATATGCTAATAATGTTAATAACATGTTAATAAGGAATTTCTCAAGATACGTTAATATGCGAGAAGGTAAGCGACTGTTAAAACTCACGGAATTCGGAAGTCCCTTTTTTGAAGTTTGGTCAAGAATACTTTATTCATCGATGTACGTTAGGTTAGAACTTTTCTTCCTGATGCACATGCACCATATTAACTCCCAGCGTGCCTCCTCGCGGGGAAGAGAGGGTGAACCATTCCCGAATGACAAGCCTCCCTCTTAGACCAAATGCATAATATAGAGGAGACCGTGTTCTAGGCCAGGCAGCCCATTTGGCTAGGCAGGTTCAACATCCGACAGCTAGCGAGGCTAATTTAGTTGCTATTTAATTCACGACCGGTTAACACCCGTAGTCTCTCCCTAGCCTAACTTACATGTTAAACCGTTTAGTATTAAACCCGAGTACCACCTGGAGGTCAAAACATATCCTTATTCTTAAAACGTAATAACTGAATGGTGCTGAGAAAACAAAAAACACGGATAGTCCAGAGTTTTAAAATTGTAAATTTTAAAAACAAAAGGACTTACCCTTAAACGGCCTGTGGTAAAATAAAGGTTTTATTAAAAATAACATTTTGTTAAACTATCGATATATTTTTACTATTCCGTTATTACAGTAATTGTTAATAGTCCCAAAATAACTGCAGTATTATCTGTAATACATGAATTATAGTCCAAGGAGACCTAAATTAAATTTTAAAAACAATAGAACTGGTTTTATATTTGATCCATTTTTACGGGAGAAGCCACGGCCATAAAAGAAGCACTCTTGCACATCCGCACCAACCTCTTCAAAAACCATGCTATCGTAACCGATTCAATGTCCGTAATAGAAGCCATAGAACAATCAACGAACCAGCATCCTGTTATAACAGACATTTTTAACATATATGATGAACTAAAGGAAGAAAATAAAAACATAGTCCTTATCTGGGCACCATCACATTGTGGTATCCTGGGTAACGAGAGAGCCGATGCTGCTGCCAACTCTGCCCGGCGTCAAGGAACTGCACGAACCACAATAATTGATGCTATTCCTCGAGAAGATTGGACACACCAACTTGCCTGCTCCTTTCAAAATAAATGGAACGTTGAATGGGAAATGAGTTCGGCAAAACTCCAGCAAATAAAAACAAAATGTATCAAATGGAACACATCAAACAGAAAGTCTAAACGAGAAGAAGTGATACTATGTCGCCTAAGAATTGGCCACTGTGAGTTTTCCCATGGATTAGAAGCTCCTGCGAGGATTAGAAGCTCCAACTTGCACACATTGCCTAGTACCCAGAACAGTAAAACATATACTATTAGAATGTAGAAGGTACACTAATATAAGGAAACAATTTCAAATGGGAACGGAAATGAAAACAATTCTGCAAGATGGGGAGAATGAAATAGAAAAACTGTTCAAATATTTAAAGAATATTCACTATTATCAACGAATATAAAATGGAGACATTAAGCCAATGACCCTTAGGGGTAGAGGCTACATAAACAAATTTAAAAAAAATATATATAAAAAATGTAGTTTGTTTACAATTACACTTGTAGCTTGTTCCATGTTTTCTTCTTATAACCTGGTTTGAAAGTTCCTCTTAATTGAAAACCTACAAACATATGGTTAACTCCAAAATTCAAAACCCCATCAAATGTGTTCCCCTCAACAATCCAAACCCAGTTAAAATACACTACCATGACTGTTGAAGTTACAAATTACTAGCTTGTCTTTCTGGACAATATCTATTTAATTGAATAGTTAAGCAGTAATGCATTATTGAACTTACACTAATGTAATTGTACTCGTTCAAGACCTTTTGGTTTGTACTGAATTGAGCCTCCATTTGAACCCAATATAGAATCATTTTCATTAGTTATTCATTCTCCCTCTGTTTAATTCTATAATATAATTTAATTTTTAAGATAACTTCAATTTTTCCTCCCACATTTTCCTCCCTCTTCCTATAATTAACGCAAATTTATATAATATACGTTTTTATATTGTAATTATTATAAAATATTTTCCGTAGCCAATATAATGAAGAAAATCGAGAACTCTTACTACAATAGCCAGGGATTTACTTTCCCTCCACCAACATTTCGAACGGAAGAGACCGTCAGTTGTACTTGTACTTGGAATCAACATCGCAAACTAATCAAGACGTGCAGCTAGGCCGGGACGAACTGGTATTAACAGGCACCCCTGTTCTGATTGGAGGAACCTCCGGGGAAATCATACTCGGCGGTGTGCACACAGCACCGACCATGCATTTCCTCATCTGACCGATGTTCATTCATGATGTGGGGAATCTTGAAATGAAGGTGGCACCTCAACAATTTGTCATGGTATAGACGCTTTGGTC